GTGATGTGGGCACATTGAACTCGGGACTCATTCCCGACTGATGTCTCGACGGCTCTGGGGCCAGGAAGCGCCCTGTGGAGATCAGGGAAGGTCGGGGATGATCCACAACCACCGCCCATGGAACTAAATTCCTGGGACGCCAGGGGGCGGGCACGACAATCATATGCCAGACTTCAGCTAGAATATCACAACATATGCTCTCTGATAGTGTACTAGAACATGCGAGGCAAGGAAGCACAAGCTTATAATGCTGTCATGTAGTAGGAATAGTCACAATGCACAACAGTGATGTGATACAGTGCACTACCATATAATCTCACAACATCCTCCAGACAGTGCTTGCAGTCAGGGGGTCCTACTTCGGTTCTGAGGTAACTGAGCCCGAGTGGCGGTCTGGGCGGCAGGTGGCTCTCCGTCGCCGCCCGTCGCCGCCGCCGCTGCTGGCAACTGAGACTGAGTGCCGGTCAAGGCGGCATATGGCCGCTCGTCGTCGCCCGCCGCCGCCGCCGCCGTCGCCCCCGCCAACAGAGCTGTGGCGGTCCGGCGGGCTCGTGGCCGCCCGTGACGGCCCGTCGCCGCCGTCGCCCCCGGACTGCTCTGCACTGCTCTGCATGGCTTCGCACTGCTTTGCATCGCTTCGCCTTGCTTTGCATCGCTTCGCAGTCACATTACATTGCATCACTTTGCAGGTCCCTGCATGGCGTTGCATTGGTTCGCATCGGCTTGCACTGCGTTGCATTGCATTGCATTGCTTTGCGTTGTCTCGAATTGCAATGGCGTTGGAATCGCATTGCTGTTGCATTGCAATTGCATTGCTGCGCATTGTTTTGCATTGTTTCGCATTGCTTCGCACTGCGTCGCTTTGCTTTGCGCAGCATAGGTTAAACTACCTGGATTGCACCACCTAGATTAAACCAGAGTGATTGCACCGCCTAGATTACACCACATAGATTGCAAGAAACACTGGTTGGGGGGGCACAATCCAACACAGCATATATATATATATATCAAACCTGCAGATCGTCACAGATATCTGTATATATCTATATATAGATGACTCAATCCATGTACACGCAGATGTTATCAGGTGATATGTGCTGTGCAGTGCCGTGCAATGCTAGTTGTATGACACAGCTAACCTTGTTCTGAGCTGAACAGACTTACAACCTTTAGCCCTTCGGGGCTGGCGGATAAGCATGCAATTCATACCAGTGCTTGCCAGAAGGCCTGTGCGAGAGCATTCGCATGCGGAAACTCCGCTGCCCACTTTGGCTCGAGCCGCTATTGGGAGAAGGAAACATCGAGCCTTCGATCTTCTCCCTGGTACGGCAGGTTCGTGTCGTGCCGACCCCAGCGTTGGTTTTTGACACCGCAGGGATCGTTCAACCTTGAACGATCGGCCGCTGCCGCAACGTCCGATCGTTCAACATCGATCGATTCTGGGTCGCCGGCGGCGTTCAACCTTGAACGTCCGCGCTGGGGTCGCCGCTGGTCGACACGACGCAAACCTACCGTAGCGGAGCCCGTCGTTCCTCCGCGGGCTCCCGTACCGACCCCGTGCCGCGGGCACTGAGGGTGGCCCCTGCTGGCGGGCAGCCAGCGACTACGACAGGGAGCTAGACGGCTAGACGACAGTGATGGGTGCGTTTTCCACCACCACCACCACCATAAGTCGGAGGAGGGGGGGGCTCCTCCTCCTCCTCCTCCTCCTCCTCCTCCTCCTCCTCCTCCTCCTCCTCCTCCTCCTCCTCCTCCTCCTCCTCCTCCTCCTCCTCCTCCTCGCCCTCCTCCTCCTTCCCCCCATCCAACTGACGGCGGTGGTGGTGGAAAACAGGCTCATCAGACAGCATGGCAGACGTTCCATGGGCGGACACAGACACGACAGATAATCGGATAACGATGGCAGATCTTTCGGGCGATTCTGCGGCCACGGTGCGCTCTCGACGAGGGCTCCCCACCACGACACAGGTCCGACGCACAACGGTACGGAGGGCACGCGACTCGTCAAATCGACGACAGCTCACAGTGCTGCTCCGACCGCGGCATCAGAGCTTAGCCCAGAGGTGTGGTGCTCCGAAGCGCGGACGCGGGGCCGCCACGCGACGGCGCGAGGCCCAGGACTGCAGGGGCGAGTCCTCTGGAAGAGCCCCGCCTCGCACAGCGATCCTGGTGGAGGCCGGCTATCTCAGCAGCGCTCTCATCTTGCCGATGGTGCTGCCCCGGTAGCCGCTTCCGAAAATGTTGTAGTGGTTCATGTGGTGGTGCAGCTCGTACAGGACTGCTCGCCTCGGGTACCCTGGTGCCTGTTCAAACTCTCTCTGGTAGCCCCTGTTGTTGAAGGCACTTCCTCCACCGAACATGTAATTGATACCGTGGTCAGCCTCGTAGTGCCCGTAATAGCACGCAGGGTCTATGATCACAGGCATGCCATCCTTGAGCGCCGCAATGTTGCCGGACCAGAGATCACCGTGCAGTAGCGAGGGCTGAACCTTCGCCCCACCCCCTATGGGCTCGAAGAGCTCTGGGAGCATCTCCATCAGCTCCGCTCCCAGCTCTTGCACCTCCGTGTCTGCCGGATTCCTCTCGCGCAGCATCCTCAGCTGATCTCCGAGGCGGTACTCGCGCCAGAACTCCACCCAGTCCATGTCGCGGCCCGCCTCGTTGTTGAGCTGCGGGCACGCCCCGCAACAGCCGTCCATGGGGAAGCCAAAACTCCGCCAGTCCTCCGGCGGCGGAGCCGCGTGCAGCTGGGCAAGGCCCCTGCCCAGGGCGTCGGCGTCGGGCTTGCCGCGCAGGTCCAGCAGCTCCTGGGCGATGAAGGCCCGCCCCGGGCCCAGCTCTCCCACCATCCAGGGCTCCGGCACCCGCATGGCTGGAGGAGCACGCAGCTGCAGGAGCACAAACTCTCGGAGCCCCGCACGGATTTCTTGGATCTGCGCTGGACCCCTCCTCCTCCTCCTCCTCCTCCTCCTCCTCCTCCTCCTCCTCCTCATCCTACTCCTCCTCCCCCTCCTCCCCCTCCCTGGCGCGCGGAGCGGCACTGGGGGCGCCGCCAGTGGGGACCCAGCGCAGATCCGAGAGATCCGCGCGGAGCTCCGAAAGCTTGCGCGTGCAGCTGGCTCTCCTCCGAATGGCGCCCTCCGTGGCCGCCCGCAGCCTCCGGAGCCCCTCCGCCTCGTACTCGAGGGTCTCCCTCGCCGGTGGCTCCAAAAGGGGAGGTCCTGTGGGACGGGGCCCTGCCGACGAGGTGCCTCAAACAGCGTCGATCCACCCTTGGGCCCCTTCCTGTCCTTCGGGTTAGGTCGGGCCTGTCCCCCTACAGTGGGGATTCGGGGCGAAAGATGAAAGAGATTCAAAAAAATACTCCAAAACTCGCCCCCAGACTATTTGGTTGACTCTTTTGGAATATCCCTGCTGTAGAGAGGAACAGGCCCGACTTAACCTAAGGGTTGGGGACCAAATGCGAGCCCTACCCCTACCCCCCACTCAGAAACCATGGAGGGCAGGGGTAGGGTTCGCACGTGGCTCCCGATAGGGCCCCCTGCCTCAGGACCCCCTCCTAGGAGGCCCCCGACCTCGGGGCACTGCTGCCGCCCGTCCCGCACTTCACGAAGCACTTCCCGCGGTCCGTGTCCAGCAGGAAGGCGCCCCTGCCGCTCGGCGAGGGCTCTGCGCCCACGTCGCCGCACACCTCTGGGGCAACGAGAGCACACTCCGAGCTTCTTATGAACTCAGGTGCCCCGACACGCAACACGCAACACGCAGCATGCTGATAGGGAGCTCAATACGTGGACTGAAAACGTAGGTCCGATGCGATACTTTCGCCAAAACGTGGTCCAATACGTGGGGCCAACACGCAACGTATCGACACGGACGTCTTGAACACGGGACGTGTTGCGTTTCAAAACGGGCGTATCGAGGCAACTAAGCTTATGAATCAACCGGGGGGTGACAAACGTGAAAACGCGGCGCGGCCAACCCCCCCACCGGCACCACCCCCGCGCCCCAGCAGGGAAGGGATCGAACCCCAGACCCCCCTGGCACCCCCGCGGACGCGCTGCGGTCAACCCCCCCCCCCCGGGCACTCCAGGGGGGGGGGGGGCGATTTCTAAGCAATCCAGAGTGCCGATACTGTTGCTACGAAGTGGTGGATATACCCACGTCCACCGCCTGGGGAGCCGACGTCCTGGGCCCCCAGCGGGCGGTGGATATGGATACAGATCGGCCCCGGGGGGCCCGAACACTTCCATATCCACCGCCCGCCTGGGACCCTGAAGATCGCCCCCGCAGGCGGTGGCTATGACCAAACCCCGCC